ACAAAATCATTGGTATACCATCTACAATTTCTACGTGGAGGATGCTTCTGCTGCCGTGCGCCCTACATTAACTAACTATCATCTGATTTTTCACGGCAACTCGGGCGCCAAGAGTGCTGATCACATGGCTCAGTTTGAGAGTCTGTTGCTTCACTGTCCTTGTTTTAGGGATATCAGCAGCCGAGCGTATAAGATCGGGAGCCTAATTGGTAGCAATTATTTTACGATTTCAGAGTATTTTTGTTCTGCTCTGTTTTTAGATAAATTTTTCTGTGGATCTTAATCAGATGTGATGGGGACTGTCGTGAGGATGGATTTTTTGGAAGATCATAGCAATGATGCTTTTAAAGATGATTTGTTTCACCTCCGTTTCGAACTAGAGGACGCAAAGTTAATCAAATGCCCTGTGTTAATGACTTTTAGGAAGTTTTATTATGAATTAATATTCTCTCTGTTCTTTTATGTTAGGAGAGAAAGTATGATTACCTGTGTAGCTCTTGGAGCCATTGCAAGAGAGTTTCACAAAGCATATATGGCACACAATTCCTATGGTGATGTTTGCGTGCTACGCTTTTGGAAAATTTCAGAGGATAAAGGTGAGTAATTGTTGCCTTATTGGTTGCACATTTTAAGACGACATAATCATTTAGGAAGTCTTCCTAAATCATTTTCTCTTTCCAAGTTTCATTTAGGAAGCCTTGAAATATTGCTTTGATTTGTTGTAGGAATGGACGAGAATAAGATTATCATGCGCTCTCATTCCCCATGCTCTGAATTCTTGTTTAATCCAACTGATGATACAGTTTCCGGATTCAAGAACATGTAAAATTTTAAACAATTATCCATATATATAATTTCTCGCTGACTGAATATGTAACTAAAAGAATTGTTTTCATTGTTTGTCTGGTGCAGAAGAGATTATGGATATTGAAGGAAAGTGGAAGACTGAAGTAATGAGGGATGCTTAAGTAACCAAAAACCTTTTTTAATGTATTCCACAAGCATTTTTATGTTTTTGCTTCTTGATGTTGAATATCTATGGATGTTGTACTTTTGACATATAATGAAATATCTATTTATTCTTTATTATTTAGCGCACGGTTAAACAAATTTTGGGATAAAGTTTGTCACTTAAGAAAAAATTCTCACACTTTACATTTTAGGATGTGTTCTTTATGAGTTAGAAATATCTTCCTAACTGTGAAAGATAGAACATTGCCGAAAATGTTAGCTCAGTTTCTAAATTTTTACAATTGTTTTTGTAACTTGGAAGTGAAAAAGGGTTTATCAATGAGCGCAAGTATAAGATTAAAGAAGATGAAATCGTTAAGAAAATTTCTTACACTTACGAAAAGGTTTATACTACTTTAGGAGAGAGAACGGACTTATTTGTTTAAATTATTTGTCGAAATGAAATTGTTTACAACGAATATGTTTTTATCATAGCGCAATAGTTACTCTTTTCTTTCTTTTCCGGAAAACCTTACTAAAGTACTTTCAAATTTTCCTTACCTTTCCGGAATATTTTTCTAATCGTTTTTATTCATTTGGCATATTGAATCACTGTTACGTTCCTTGATTGAACGCTTAAAACAGACTAACTTACCTTCGCAATGTTTAAATTATTTTTTCAAAATGAAATTGTTTACAACGAACATGTTTTTATCAAAGCACAATAGTTACTCTTTTCTTTTTTTCCGTAAAACCTTCATAAAGTAGTTTCAAGTTTTCCTTACCTTCCCGGAAGATTTTTCTTATCGTTTTTATTCATTTGGCATATTGAATCACTGTTACATTCCTTGATTGAACACTTAATGTCATCTAAAAATATGCGAACAAATTCGTAACAAGCCTAGAGAACAGTAAAAACAAAATCTCGCAAGTAAATCTCAAGAAACATAACACAACTTCAAAAAATCTGAAACACAATTAATCTGAAACACAATTAATGGTTAGCCATCGTAAACCACAATTTCGGGATGTTGCTTCCTTTGCTCAAATGAAAAACAAATCAAATGTAAGTCTTACTTTTTCTTAAAATGATCAAAGATATCCCAAACCAGATTGCTCCTCAGATCTTGAACAACTTCATCACAAATTCTTGAAAATTCCTCAATCTTCACAGAGTGGCACTCTCTCATCTTGAGTACAAAGATGCCACAGTTGGATATTGTGCTGGACTTTGCAACAGTTTCCTCAAAATCATATACCACTTCGAATGGAACAAGATCCTGCATTGGCTTTGTGTTTTCCGCAACACAAAGTAGTGCAGGGATCATCTCTACAAAATTATCACAAGTTAAATTCAGAAAAGAATACTTTCCATAAATTCATGAAAGTATTTGAAAACTACGAAAAACCATTGTTGGTGAAACACTTTACATGTGATATCGTTGGCCACCTGTAAAATACTTGTCTTTGGCTCTTTTGGATGTCTGCAGCTAAAACACTCAACTCGCCTCTTCTTCATATCTATCGCTAAACCAATCCAGTGTAGAGAAGTCTTGGGTTTAACCATTCCATAGATGAAATCAACATCCTTCTTCTAGTTTTTGTTTGGATATTTGTTTCCCTTTACAACTTCAATCAAATTTTCAGGGAAATGTTTCTTGCACCGAGGTTTCTTGAAAATGTTGTGGAAATCTAACAGCTCATTGAAGAACCATGAGTTGCAGAAATCAGCCCTTGGGAATTGATTGTTGTGGACATAAGCTGCATGCACATTATCACATTATTATCATACTATATACCAACCTCACTGTCTCATCATATCCACCCAATCTTGATAAGCTGATAACAGCTCATATCCTGGGGATTGAAACGGATCAACATAGGATTTGGTTCAGGAGTCGTGATTAGAGCTGGGATTGGCGGCGCTCTGAAGGGACTTTCTGTACTCTTATTTTGTTTTGGGTCCCGGTTGCTCCTCCTTAGAAACCTTTTCAACCTTTTAGCCGGACGATCACCTTCATCATCAACTCTCTTCTCCTTTGCTTTTCTGTTTGCAACAGTAGGACGAATCCTCAACATATCCACAACCTTCACATGATTTTGGAGTTCAGCAGCAGACTCTTCGTTAGCACTTGTATCCATAGCTACAACAGACGTTGTATCCATCTGAAAGGATAATCCCCTCTTCTCTGAAGCAACCTGCAACCACAAAAACATGCAACGTACGATTGATACAAGTTTCAGAAAGTAAAGGTTAATGGTTTTGTTTTAAGAAATTCTAACCTCATCCGTCTGATTTTCCACCCCACTTGATGATGGTTGCCATAAAACAATAGCCATAGAATGTGTTCCCTTAACATTCTGAAAAAAATACAGATTTTTATGGAATGTTAAAAAAATTTCTTAAAGAATTGACAGATGTTCAGAAATACCTTACTAAATTATCAAAACGCAAAAGAATACTGATTTCTTACTATAGTTTCATCATTTTCTTGGCTCCCATCATCATTGTCAATTTCTGTGGGTTCAGTGCCTCAAACCGTCTCCGTGGATGTAACCACGGGCGAGGTTTGTACTTGGAAGCACAACATTTTTTGGGTTAGGAAGGTTTGACAAATGTTCAGGAAGACTTTACTAAAATATCAAAACGCAAAAGAATTCTGATTTTCTTACTGTAGTTTCATCCTTTTCTTGGCTCCCATCATCATTGTCAACTTCTGTGGGTTCAGTGCCTCCAACCGTCTCTGTGGATGTAACCACGGGCGGGGTTTGTACCTGGAAGCACAACATTTTTTGGGTTAGGAAGGTTTGACAAATGTTCAGGAAGACCTTACTAAAATATCAAAACACAATAGAATCCTAATTTCTTACTGTAGTTTCATCCTTTTCTTAGCTCCCATCATCATTGTCAACTTCCGTGGGTTCAATGCCTCCAACCGTCTCCATGGATATCGATATCACAGGCGGGGTTTGTACCTGGAAGTCCATCTTGTTTTACTAGGAACTTTTAACACATGTTCAGGAAGACCTAACTAAAGTAATCAAATCCAAAAGAAACAAGAATAGCTAACAATTTGTTGCTCCTCCATTGGTTGGGTCCTCTAATCCTTTTCCATCTGTGTTTGGGCTATCTCCTGTTCTTTCCTACTCTCAGTTGTCTCATCATTGTTCATCTGCATAACAATAGATGACCGCATATTAGTCCCAAAATGTTTTAGCAAATATAGATGGCAAAAAATTGTTTAAGTACCTTATCAGTTTCTTTGGTTGTTTCAACCACACCACTTCCATTCTGGAAATATCATAGCACGTACGTAGTTTATGAAAACAAGATACTAAATTAACATAATTTTTCGGAAGAGCTTCCCAAGCGTTTTGGAATCTTACCTTGTGAGTAACATCTTCATCACTGATTAGCTCTGTGGTAGTAAGGGACTGTATCAGCTGAGTATCCTGTTTCTCCAAATTTGAATCTGCCAACTCTTTTTCACTCTGTCAAATGCATAAATTGGTCAGGTACATTTAATATATATTTCAAGGAAAACTTCCTTAGCTGATGAAAATGCAAAAAAAATCCAAATCTTATTACCTCAGCAGTAAAAAAGATCTCCTGTGTTGCACCTGTCCTGGGTCTCCCTCAGCTTCAGGTATTTCTTGTGTTGTGTGGATCTCTTGTATTGGTGTCTCCTTGAGGTATTGTTGGTTGACTATTTTTGGCATGTGTTAGCGCTTTTTTTTGCTCTCCCTCAGATGCATGAGATTCAATCATCTCTATATTGAGAAGCTCTTGTGTGGCACCTTGGGGAATCTCCTGTGTTTGTAGACTATCTTTAACTTGTGTATCATCCATGTTTTTGTCTTCAGTTGAGTCATCCTCTTCAGTTGAGTCTACATCGTCAGCTACAAGCGTTGCTGAATTCCCAATGTGCACAGGTGTTCTCTGTTAACCACCTTTGGATTCCTGCAAATCAACTTGTTAAATCTTACATTCAAAGTCTGACATCTAGCTAAAAATCAAACATAACATTGACACAAATAGAGAAACTTACGGTAACTTCATCTTCCCAATCTATTTCGAGCTTCTCTTCTATCTTATGCAATTGATCAAAGATCCTAAGGTTACCTTCTTTAACCATTAGAATGATACTGTCCAGCTTTGCCATAATCATTGAATGCGAAGAAGATGGTATCTCTGCCCTCATATTAAAAGCTGAACATGAAGCTTCGAAACTCTCAGCATTATGAATCGTGACAGAGTTCAAGCAAATGGACTCTAGCGCATCAACTAGATCAAGTTTTTTATTTACCTAATCTGCTAAGCTCAGGGAGTAGCCTCTTGTAAGAACTTCAGCAAGTTCTTCAAGGTCAGGATCATCTTCGTCTTCCATGCAGACTGTATCCTCAGCATCACCTGATATAGCAGGCAATTTGAAGATCACCTTCATTTGTAGACACAAATGGGAAACATGTTAAAGATATACAGAAGTTTACTACGATTTTTAGGAAGACATCCTGATCATTTTTGTTTCGCCATGTATCATTTAGGAAGGCTTTCTAAATCTATGTATCATCTAGGAAGGCATCCTGAATCATTTTTGTTTTGCCATGTATCATTTTAGGAAGGCTTCCTAAATCTATGTATCATCTAGGAAGGCATCCTAAATCATTTTCGTTTCGCCATGTACCATTTTAGGAAGGCTTTCTAAATCTATGTATCATCTAGGAAAGCATCCTAAATCATTTTCGTTTCCCCATGCATCATTTTAGGAAGGCTTCCTAAATCTATGTATCATCTAGGAAGGCATCCTAAATATATGTATCATCTAGGAAGGCATCCTAAATCTATGTATGATTTAGGAAGGCATCGTAAATCACGTTAACATAAGCAAATCACGAAGGCATCCTAATTCATGTTAACATAACAGACGAAATACTTACATCAGGTGATCCTTCTATGGTGAGAACTTGGTTTATTAAAGGAGATGTTGTGTAAAGGTACTTCTCACATAAGAAGGCAGAGGACAAAATACTGTTGCTGACTGTTGAGAAGGCAGTCTGTAGCATTGGGACCGACTCTAGCAACCACAAGTGGAAGGCAAAAGGGTAACCCTGTACAACATACTTCGCTTTATCCAAATGCGAAGGCACCCTTGACTTGATTGATGACAAGAGCAACTCATACGCTTCCCTCCCCCAATGATAGTTCATCAGAGTGTTCATGTCTTGCGCTCTCTCTATGAAACTTCTCGGAAACTTGTACTCCTTGTATCTCCCAAAGAGCAGAGACTCTATCAGCATCAACATCCCTAAGGAAAACTTCTCATCATAAGCATCTTTTTCAGCTCTGAGCATCTTATCGATCAGGTCTTCAGTTGAGTGAGACTCTGTCTTCAAATCATCCCAATCATAAATACTTTCTTCTGGAGCAGCTTGAGGAGTCCAAATGGAACACTTTAATCCATTGACCATATGAAACTCTCTTATCGAGAATTTCAAAGGATGCGATCCAAAGTGGAACCAGAGCTCATTGTTCTTCTTCGTTATTAAACTCCTTATCAGGAAAACATGGATCATTTTCCCTGACATTAGCACTTTCTTTAAGCTCAATTTCAGGAGAGGCCCAAAAAAAGAATTCCTGATCCTGTTAAACTGCACTTCCCCCAATATTTCTTCGACTTGCTCAATGAATGATGTTTTCGAGTGTTGGTCTATGGCCTTAAAATTCTTCCTAGGCTCTTTCCCGAATTCATAATGCAACTTCAGGAGTGCTATTAGCGTAGAAGGCTGTGAATCCTCCATGTTGTTCCTGACACGCCACAGACAACAAGTAAAGAACAATTTTTGTCATCAAATTCAAGACTTCAGACACAAACATTGCAGAATCTCTCAAATCTATGTTGTTTGCCAAATAGGTATCGATTTCATGATGACCTTCCTAAGCTATTAATTAAGCATCCCAAAAATTTTAGAATTTTGTTTCCTCCTATGATGTAATCGAAATAATCAAAACAGTGAGTTGAAAAATTGTATTCCAGTTCGAGAAGTAGATTTAATTGAAACATCAAAACTGTGATGAATTTAAAATTAGCATACACAATGACCCAAAAAACTTTGATACATGTGGGTTTGGCAACAGAGTCGTCGCGAAGAGAGAAACTGTTGGGGTTTTCTGTTTATCGTCGCGAAGAAAGAACCAATTTTGGGTTAATCGTCGAAAAAGGTGTAAAATTTGTGTGAATCCTCACGAAGAGAGTCGTCGCCGTTCTCCACGGGTTTAAGACAACTGTGTGGGTTTTTCTGTCAATTGCCGAGAGAGAGAAAGTTCGTGTTTTTGTGCGAGGAAGAGTTCCTAGATTTCTAAATGTAAACACTTCGCTTGGCCGGCGTATAAATAAATAAGATCTTATGGATTGATAACTATCTTTCACGTACTTAGCGGTTAAATCATCTATTGTCAATTGACGAGGTCAACGGTTCGATTCCTCGTGTCGTAACCTATTTTTTTATTTTATTTTTTGTTTTTGTTTTTGTTTTTAGGATTTCTTTCTGACAACAGCCTAACAGATTCATAAATCATTTTGTTAAAACATTAACTTGTTTCTTCATCCAACGTCCATAGATAATAAAAACAGTAGTCCAACGTCCATAGATGATGTCATAAGTTTTAGTTTTAGATCCGAGAAAAGAAAAAACATCAACCATGTTCAAAATGCAAACTAAAACTACTAACAATAGTCTCCTAGTTCCTACTTTTTGTTCACAAACTGCTCAAAGATGTCGCATACATATTTGGTCTTCATGTCCGCAACACTCATATGAGCCACTTTTGAGAAGTCATGGCCCCCCAATGATTGACACTCGATCATCTTGACAATATACATGGGACAATCAGTCACCCGGAAACCTATTGTGTACAGGGAAAACTCTTCTTCAGTGTGATGGATGACTTTGAATGGTTCCAGATGTCTCTTTGGCTTTTTGTTCTCAGCAATGTCGAGGAGGGTAGGTATCATATCTGCAACAATTATGAATAAGTTTTCAATAACAGGAATCATGTGTTAAGAACACCCAGCACAAATTTGACTAATGTTTTCCCAAATTATCTCACATATAGTTAAAGAGGGAAAGTGTACCTGCCATCCTCTTAACAATATTCAAGACTACTCCTTTCTTCTCCTATTGACTATTGCACGAGAAACTCTCCACTTGGCAGCTCTTAAAAATGATTTCCAATCTAATCCGGTGGGGAACCATGGATTTAATGACTCCGTAGACGACATCTACATCTTTCTTCCACTTCTTGTGCGGGAAAACTGTTCCCTTTACAATATTTGTAACACTATCAGGGAATGGTAATTTGGTTCGATACCTCTCGAATTTGTCGTGGCATTGTAACAGCTCATAAAAGAAGTCTGTTTTGCAGAATTCAGCTCTAGGAAATTTATCGTTATTGAAGTATGCGGCATGTTCCTCTCTTTTCTTTTGCAACATCATCAAAACTGCATTTATTTCCTGCAAGAACATGGAGACAGAGTAACCAAGAATGTTTGGCCGCCAATCCGAGAAAGAAGAATACAAGTATTCCATGACTACAAGTTAAACTCATTTTGACTAATTTCTTCTTACCGTATCACGAAAACAAGATTCGGGATCCTCCATTCCCCGGAACAAGTTTGCAGTAGCATCCATATCACCAATTCTGTGTTTTTATTAGATATCGTCAAGATATTTACGTTACAAAACAATTTTATAAAAACAACTCGTTATGTTTTTGATATATTCTAACCTTGATGTCTCTCCCTTCTGCAACCACTCTTTATAGGCTGTCAACTGAAATGGATCGACTGTAGCTGTACATTTTTCGGCCAACTGTGTGCTCTTCCCTTTAGACTTTTCTGACTTCTCCTCACCCATCTTCTTCTTCTTATTAGCCGGAAGATCATCTTCATTAGGGGGCCTCTTCTTTGTCTTTTTCTGCTTTGCATCATACAAATGATTTCCAATCTAATCCGGTGGGGAACCATGGATTTAATGACTCCGTAGACGACATCTACATCTTTCTTCCACTTCTTGTGCGGGAAAACTGTTCCCTTTACAATATTTGTAACACTATCAGGGAATGGTAATTTGGTTCGATACCTCTCGAATTTGCCGTGGCATTGTAACAGCTCATAAAAGAAGTCTGTTTTGCAGAATTCAGCTCTAGGAAATTTGTCGTTATTGAAGTATGCGGCATGTTCCTCTCTTTTCTTTTGCAATCAAAACTGCATTTATTTCCTGCAAGAACATGGAGACAGAGTAACCAAGAATGTTTGGCCGCCAATCCGAGAAAGAAGAATACAAGTATTCCATGACTACAAGTTAAACTCATTTTGACTAATTTCTTCTTATCGTATCACGAAAACAAGATTCGGGATCCTCCATACCCCGGAACAAGTTTGCAGTAGCATCCATATCACCAATTCTGTGTTTTTATTAGATATCATCAAGACATTTACGTTACAAAACAATTTTATAAAAACAACTCGTTATGTTTTTGATATATTCTAACCTTGATGTCTCTCCCTTCTGCAACCACTCTTTATAGGCTGTCAACTGAAATGGATCGACTGTAGCTGTACATTTTTCGGCCAACTGTGTGCTCTTCCCTTTAAACTTTTCTGACTTCTCCTCACCCATCTTCTTCTTCTTATTAGCCGGAAGATCATCTTCATTAGGGGGCCTCTTCTTTGTCTTTTTCTGCTTTGCATCATACAAATGATGATAAATCGCCGGGAGCATTTCACATAAGTTTAGAAAAACCTTCCTAGTAGCAGTAAAGAAACCAGAAATCTTACAGTTTTTATCTCCTTTGTTTGGGTCTCGTTTTCATTCATCTGCAAAATATCATATAGCAATTTTTTATGCATGAAATGTTTTTTTATCAAGCGCAAAAGAAAATGTTTTCTTTCTTACTCCGTCGTTTCCATCATCTTTTTCTGATACGGTGTAAGCACTTATGACACTTCAGATTATCTGGAAACAATAGTTGTATACATATGTAAGAAGAAAACAGGAAGCATATTTCGTTAGACCATGCAAACGAAAAAAACAAAAACCGTAAAACTATACCTTGTCTGGAGAATCCTCCTTACGTTCTTTCAACAAAAATCAAAAACAACTAGTTAGATGTTTTTGGAAACTAGGTTTCTACAATAATAAGAATGACGCAAAATGATATTAATACCTGATCATTTACGTTTGCCTGATCACGGATTTCTTCTGAAATGTTTTTAACTCTCGTGGGCAAAGCAGACGTCTCTGCGTTTTTCTGCAGTGTAATTACAAATTAGGAAAAAAATTTGGAACTGTTCTGGAGATCACAAGGTTTTGCCACAATATGAATGATGTACATGTATATCCACATCCACTGGAGGATCCCATGCCTCGTCCACCCATTCTCTATGAATCCTTACATCACCAATTTGGAACTTAAGGTTTTTCTCGACATGATGAAGGTGGATAGAAACTTCTGGACCATCGAGAAGCGCTTGAACATGCCCTATGCACCAGTGGTCATCGTGGTAGGCATCAATGTCTTGCGTGAGTGCCAAAACGTCGGTGGAACATTCTGCCTTAGGCAGAGGAGGCGGTGTAGGACGGATCCGCATCTCTTGGACATTCTCATACTTACCAAGGCTCAAGAACTTCAAATAATAGCTGCGGTTATGACCTAGACCTGGCTGTCTATTTATCAACGAAGTAGGAAACCACTTGTTATCTTCACCCGATACCTCGACTAAAGCACCTTCCGTCAAGTAAGGTTTAGGACTCATGCCTGGAATCCCCATTGCAGGAGCAGCTTTACCAGCGACAAGTCCGCAAACTATCTGGGAAACCAACATTTGTGTTAGGAACGCTTAATAAGAGGTAAAGAAAAACCTTCCTAAAATATGCTAAAGAAACTTGAAATCTAACATTTTGTTTTGTTCCCTCAATTTTGTCCATTTTTTTTTGGTCCGGTGCCTGTAAATGCTTCAGTGAAAGTTGCCACAGGCGGGGTATGTACCTGGAACTCTAACATTTTGTGTTAGGAACATTTAGCATAGATTCAGGAACACATTCCAAAAACTTTTGAACTCAAGGGAAACAAGAGAGAATCTAACAGTTTGTTGCTCCAATAGCATGGACGCCTTATTCTTTCCCATCTGTGTCTAGGGCACCCTCTGTGATTTTCGTCTCTCTTGATCCAGTGGTATGGACACCTTATCCTTCCCCATCTGTGTCTGGGGCACCCGCTGTGATTTGCCTCTCCCTTCTGCCACATTTTTGTTCAACTACAAAACAACACACGATAACGTCAACACCACACATTTTTTCTCAAGTATACTTTTGGAAGAATTCCTAACTCAGTGAAAGGCTTTCATAAAACGCAATCTGGATATCTAATTTTCGTGTTCCTAGGTATAATCCAATATCTCGTCTGGCTAATAAATCCATACCTGATTTAGCGAATCATTTTGTCGCGAACCAGTGGCGTTTAAACCTGTCGATACGTCCACAAAAGTAAGCTCCTTCAACGAAAAACCAATAACAGCCTGTTGTTAGAATATTTATTAAAAAACAAGCTCTAATCATATATATTTTATTTCAATACCTCATCAATGGAATCGGAAGGATCATATATTCCCAACTTTTGTTCAATCTTTGATAATCGAGAACGGATATGTGTCTGTCCATCTTCGAACATCTTGATGAGCTTGTTAATCTTCGCCTCTACTGATTCGTCTGAAGAAGAAGGTCTGGAATTTTTTCTCGCTCTTTCTGAATGAGGATAGCGATATGACTGCGATGCAATGCATTATGACTGCGATGCAATGCAATGCATTGTCTCTCTTCAAAACCCATCTTCTCCATTGTTCATGCCTCAGCTCGAAACTTTTGTCCAACAGATCCACAAGTGAATGCAGATCTTCATCGTCTTTGTCTTGCAAAAACACGGTGTCTTCGAGGTCACCATGTATTTTGGGAAGGATATGTACCACACTCACGTGCACAGACAAAAAAGACATGTCATTCATCGATGTTTTGTTAGGAAAGCCTTCCTAAACAAATGACACATATTCTAGATAATCAGAGAAGTAAAGGAAGGTACTTACATCGCTTTCGCCTTCTATGCTCAGAACAGATTTGATGGGAGGAGATGTTGTGTGAAGATATTTCACACACAAAAAGCTGTGGGCGGGACTGTTTTGTCAATCGTAGAGAAAGCCGATTGCAGCTTGGGTACGGATTCCAAGATCCATAGGTGAAGCGTAACAGGGAACCCGTCCAGAGGGTCCTTGGCCTTTTATAGACTGTTCTCCACAGTCTTCTTCACTGATTTTAACAGCATTTCGTAGGCATCTATCCCCCAATGATGATTCAGCAATATATCCATGTGTTGCGCTTTCTGTAAATTTGATGTGGGGAACATAGCCTTCGAATACCTATGCAGAAAAATTGTCTCGATGAGCAGCTCCATAGCCAAAGAAAACCTCTCATCATGAGCATCATCTCCGGCTTCCATCATGAGTTCTATTAGCTCGTCAGGTGAATGCCCATCCCCCAATCCAGACCAATCATAGTTGTTTGCCTCTTCCTCAATATCAGGCAACCATTCTGTGCATTTCAGCCCCGTGACCATATGGAATTCTCTTATAGAGAATCTCATAGGCTGTCCACCAAAATGAAACCAGAGCTCTTTCTCTTTATTGGTTTCCAGGCTCTTGGTCAGAATGGTGTGGATCATCTTCCCTGACATAGAGAGATTCTTTGAACAGAACTGCAAAGCAGGACCCAAGAAAGAATCCTCGATTCTCTTAAACTGCTCAGGCATGAGTATCTCCTTCACCTTGGCGATGTACTTGAAGTCTGAGTACTTGTCTATGGCCTTGAATCCATTGACAGGTTCCTTCCCCATCTCGTATTTGAGTTTAGGAAGTGTGATGTCCAATTTCAACTGCTACAAGAAAAGAAACGGAAAATATCAGTGATTGTAAGAAACACAAATCGAAAATCATACAATAACTAAACATAACAACACATTTTTGAGAGTTGACAAATAACACTTAGAAGGTGCTCCTAAATCTCGATCAGAAAGCAAAAAAGAAGAGCCAAACATAGAACTTTTTGGAAGGCGTTTCTTAAATCCAAATCCTAAAATTACAAAGAAGAGCCATAAACCAACAGTATTTGTTTTTTGATATTTGAATCTTAGAACGATCCTTCATAAGTTGAAATTGAAGTTTATACTAGACAAATCTATAAACCAACCCCTCGATAAGTTGAAATTGAAGTTGAATATCCTAAATCTCTATAAAACCAGTGACGACTTTTACGAGTCTTCGAGATGATAGAAGTTTTGGGACAAGAGTTTCTTACTGAGTCTTAGTTGTCACCTTCTCTGTCGCCGATGTCTTCTTCACCGTTAACGGTAGTTCAAGAAAGAAATTAGATTTTAGGGTTTTGTCTTCAATTCGCTTGGAAACTGAACGGTCGGGAGCAAATGGCGGAACTGAATCGTGTTGAGCAGTTTTCTCAACTTTAAAACGATTTTCTATTGTATTTATATGCATAAAGAGGAAGTTACTAACAGTTATCCAACCAAATAATTTGGCCATAGCGGTTAGAGCTTTACTACGAAGTAGATGAGGTCATCGGTTCGATAACCACGGATTCTTTTTCCGTCTTATTTGTTTTTTTTAATATTTAGGAAGCACTTCCGAAACAATTGGAAATGATTCCTAAAACAGTTGTAAATTTTCCTCGACGATCTTCTTCTTCGATTTCAATTCATAAACATGTCAATTCACTCATAAACATTCCAATTCACTCATAAACATTTCAATTCACTCATAAACATTTTCAATTGCCGCCGTTGGCTTGTATGATCTCATTCTCCGTCGTATCGTATCCAAACACAATTGTGTTCGACGGCGAGAGGCCGCCGTTATCTTCGTATGTCCAAAGCCAGTAGTCCGAATCCAGATCCTTCGCCGAGGTAAGTCTGCAATCATAATATATCTCTAATTTGTTGTAAATTAGGTAAGTCTTCGAAGGCGGCTTCGCCGCTGCTATCTTCGACGGCGGCTTCGCCATCGCTATCTTCGATGGCGGCTTCGCCACCGTTGTCTTCTACGACGGCTTCGTCATTAGAAGAGACATTGTCTTCGACGGCGGCATCGTCATCGGAAGTGTCAAGATCTAGGGTTTTTTGATTTATTATAATTTTTTAGATAGAGGTATGATCGAAAGTTACTTACTAAAAATATTAGGTAGTGAAAGATTCTTAAAAACCTCTTGAAATATGTCCAGAAAACCTAAAAAAAGTGTATTTGTGAGAATTGCCCGTCCTAAAAATCTTCTCAAAAGCACACAATCCCTTCTAAAATCTATTCAATTAATGACTGCCAGAAGCATCAAATACAAGCCTTGTTGCAACTTGTTACGAACGCTAGTAGATGCATAGGGGCAAATCGATTAACTAAAGATTCTAATATAATAAAAAACTAAAATTCAATTATAATAATATAGGGAAACAATACAATTTAACAAGGAATCTATCGAATCAAAAATATGTAGAACAAATATTCATTATTTTTCTCATTAATAAACTAATGCTTTCACCTTACAAAATTACCTTTCACTACCCTTCTAAAAAATTGATAATGGCAATTGAATAAAATTTATGTCAAACATCAGTATATATTTCTCTCTCTTTCTCTATCTCTTTCTCTCAAGCAAGAAGCTTTTATTATTATCACATCCATCGCAAATTTTTCTGGGTGTAGATCGCAAGATGTCAACAAACAATGCGGTTGAGTTACTGGAGCTAGTTCGGTGGTGGCAGCGGAAGCTTGGTTGGTTTTTAAATAATAATTGAAAATTTGACTAAAACATTTTTTGGCATGTGTGTAAAATCGAATAATTTTAAAAATATGTTGAACAATATTTTTACAGAGTTACCAAATAAAAAATTATATAAACAAATAAAAGTTTACATAAACATACAAAATAATTTAGGATGAACAAAAAATAATTATACGATATAGAGTACACAAATCAGTTTGGGTTCATCAATCCTTAGAGAGGGTTTCACGTATAGCTTTTAGGATTTATGGTTTAATTTTTGGAGTTTACGAATTAGGGTTTAGAATTTTTTATATGTGTTCACCAAATTTTAACTAGGGTTTAGTGTGTAGATTATGTTTTATATTATGACTTGTTAGAAATTTATTTGTTTTATAATTTACAAAAATATCTATAAATTTTGACAAATTTTTGATAATTACAACATATTTATATGTTATTTCTTAGCAAATTACGTTATTAATTAACCGTTAATATACCCGTAAACACTTGCATTAAATACTATGATTTTTTTTAAAAAATAACTTCCCAAGTTTATATTAATATTAGTAGCGTCTTTGTATATGTCAAATAAAATTTAAAAATAATTGAAGAGGTTATCCTTATTGATGAAAAATGACAAAATTTTCCAAAAACATTTAATTGTAAAAACATTATTTTATAAGGTGCTATTTTCTATAGATTTTTGGTCAAAAAAATTAATTTTGTATGAATCCTTTTAATATGTCTACAATTTTAATTTTTAGTCAACTTGTGTTTTCTCTCCAAATAACCTTTTAATGTTTTAGGTTTTTATATGGTAAATTGGTAAAAAAAAGATTTGATTTGACTATTTATATATATATAAATAGCTGGCAAATGACTACTATATGCAGATAATTATTTTTTTAATATGTGAAAATAATAACATCTTTAAAAGGAATAATATGTCATATTTGTAAGATAATTCTCTCTCATCTTCCTATCTCGTGGCTCGACAACCAAAAAAAAAACAAATCTCTAAAATCCAAAAGCTTTAGTGTGAATTGGAGATTCGTGAGATTGTCGGATTGCTTTCTAGTCTGGTCTTTTTCTTTCTTGTTGCCACCAGCTCTGTGATCAGTCCCTCTTGCTTTTTCAATACATCCGAGTTTGATTGAATCCTCTAGGTACGTATCCTTATTTTCTTTGAGTTAGTTTTGATCCACTTTTGTATAACCCTCTGTTGTTGTTGTTCTTTTGCTGTTTTTACTTCATTGTATGCTTTTCAGTTTCATTTCAATTTAAGACAAACCCTTTAACAAAACAAAAAAAAATTCTCGGATCAGAGAATTTTTGGAACAATCTCTAAAGGAATGTTGTTCTTTTGCTGTTTTTACTTCATTGCTCATGCTAATTTTTATTTTGAATGACTTTAATTATAGGTAGATTTGTCATTCTTTTGTACTGTATCTAATGTGTTGCTTTCTCTCTGGATGTTAATTTTCTGATTTCGGTAAATTTATTGACACAAAGAAAAGCTTCTATAATTTTATCTTCTTGTTTCATGTTACCTATGGGGTTCACACATAGAGTAGCGTAATTGTGAACAACGATCCATGTTGTTAAAACTTATTTGGCATTTGTGTTCTTCATTTGACATGATTTTATGTGCGGAAATGGAAAAAATGATAACTATACTGATGTCATATGAATCTCTAACCATATACTATTTACTACATGTACATTAGTTTGTATAAGTATGTCGCAGTCGTGCTTCGGGAACGAATCCAACAACGTAATGGAGGAAGGAAATGTTGCCCCTTCCTTCGGTGATACAAATATTCAAGCTGTACAACCTTCGCCGGAATCGGGATCTTTGTCCATGGGAAATGATACTTTCCAATCTGTGCGTCGTAAATCCAGGACAAAACCTCTTACCGTTGATGTTTATACAGTCCAATGTAACTGTTGTTACAAATGGAGGCTTATACCCTCGTTGCAGAAGTACGAGGAGATAAGAGAACAAATTATAGAGAACCCGTTTATGTGCAAATCAGCATGCGAGTGGGAGCCGGGAATGTCATGTGATGTTCCGGAAACCATTTCTCGAGATGGAACACGTATATGGGCTCTTGATAAGCCTAAGATCCCCCGCCCACCACCCAAGTGGACACGTTTAGTACAGATTAGAGAAGAAGGATGTAGCCAATTTTCGGATGTGTAAGTTCTCCTTAGGCCTCACTGTTCTTCTTTTATTTAACACTCTTTCGTCTTGATACGGTTAGTTTATAACCAAGCTTTCCTTCTGATTGTTTCTTTCAGATATTATATCACTCCATATGGACAGACACTTCGATCATCTGTGGAGGTTCAAAAGTAAGTTTTTCTAGCACTTTATTTCCATCTTTCCCACAACAACTACAACGAGCTATGTAATTGATAATAAAAGCCAATACATTAATTGTTAGGTACCCTCTTTATATCCTGATTTAGTATAATATTTAGGGGCTCTCTCTCTCTTTATTTCTTTTTACTAGAGTTCTTTGCTTTGACGTTTGAGTATATATATAACGATGAGGTCTTGGTTTATCCATCCGTAGTGACGTAGTGTCTTATCATTTTTTTCTAGAGTGCTTTGCTTTTACGTCTGAGTATATAGAATCAGCAGGAACATGTTGTTGGAATCTTCAACGATATAATGTAGTAACCCTTAAGCCTATGTTTAGTTTACTAACGAAAATATCATAAACCCTATTTTCATTATTCTTCCCTAAAGCATTTGATATCAATATTTTAGCTTTTACATTGAGTATGTATAAGGATGATCATCTTGGGGTATAGAATCAGCAGATAGCAGAAACATGTTGTTGGAACCTTAAATGTTATCATGTAGTGAACACTTTCCTATGTTTTGTTTACTAATGAAAATACGATAAACCCTATTTTCATAATACATCCCTAAAGCATATCAACAACAATGGCAGAAGAAAAGCTTAGTGGTCATCAATTTGTTTTCAGTAACATATAGAGAAAGCTTCTTTACACTTTCATAAACCTCATTTCTGGCTTGCAGGTACTTGGAAAACCACCCTAAGTTTGTACTAGAGGGCGTGACTCCTTCCCAGTTCTCATTCCAAATGCCGACACCGCTTGAAGAGAACTACGTAAGGAAGCGCCCAGCTCAATCCTCAAAAAGGAAGAGACAAGACTGAACTATCTATCTATAGTTTATGATCTTCTATGCTATATAAGCCTTCTTATTTCTCCGTTGGAAATAGAGGATTGTATTCGCTTTGGGGGTCAGAAATATAAAGAAACTGAGGACATGTGCTTAGCTATATCATTTTGCAGTGTAAGTTCTTGATAGGCACTTCTATCAAGAGGATATGTCGTTTTGGTTCTGATATCGTTTTACTACAGGATTTTCATGAAAGTTGGATTGATGTTAATCTATACTATAAAAGATGGTCAACTCTCTCCAGTTGAGTGCACTTCATCATTTTGGTTTATTAAAATTTAATGATACAAATTATATGAAATACAGTTAATATATAAATTAATGTATTATTAATCATAATACTAAAAGAATATGAAAAATATGAAGTATTAGATAATATATTTTAACAACATTATATACTTAATATCCAAAAAAAAAATATTGAGTATATATTTTTGGTAGTTTTTAAAATCATTAAAACAATTTATGTTTCTTATTTAAGAGTGTTTTCTTATTTCCTTGGAGAAAACTTCACATATTCTGTTATAGTTAATGCTTCATTGAACAATGCAGAGCTCACCCTTTTGCTAAGTAAGCTGCTCAGATTTCACAAAGCTCTTGGCTATTCTCTTGATGATGTTTCAGGGATCTCTCCAGACTTGTGCATGCATAGGATACACCTGGAGGATGAATCGAAATCATCAGTTGAGCACCAGAGGAGGCTGAATCCGAATTTGCAGGATGTAGTCAAGAAGGAGATCATGAAGCTGCTTCAGGCTAAAATCATCTATCCTATATCAGACAGTGCTTGGGTGAGTCTAGTGCACGTGGTGCCTAAGAAAGGAGGTGTTACAGTAGTGAAGAATGACAAAGATGATCTGATTCCAACCAGGACTGTGACAGGACACATGATGTGCATTGATTACAGGAAGCTGAATGCAGCAACAAGGAAGGACCATTTTCCTCTACCTTTCATCGATCAGATGCTGGAGAGGCTGGCAAATCACAAGTACTACTGCTTCCTTGATGGCTACTCAGGCTTCTTTCAGATCCCCATCCATCCAGATGATCAGGAGAAGACTACTTTTACCTGTCCTTATGGCACTTTTGCATATCGCAGAATGCCTTTTGGGCTGTGTAATGCTCCTGCAACTTTCCAAAGATGCATGATGTCGATCTTCACAGACATGATTGAGAAGTTTATGGAGGTTTTCATGGATGATTTCTCAGTTTATGGTTCTTCCTTCAAGAGCTGCTTGGACAATTTGTGTGCAGTTCTGCAGAGGTGTGGTTTTGAACTGGGAGAAGTGTCATTTTATTGTACAGGATGGTATTGTGCTTGGTCACATAGTCTCAGGAGATGGTATAGAGGTGGATAGGGAAAAAATTGAGGTGATGACAAGTCTGCAAGCACCTGATTCAATAAAAGCAGTGAGGAGTTTTCTGGGTCATGCAGGCTTCTACAGAAGATTCATCAAGGATTTTAGCAAAATAGCACGCCCCTTTACTGCTCTCCTCTGCAAATATGTGAAGTTTGAGTTCACAGAAGAGTGCAAATCCGCCTTTAAACAGATCAAGCAAGCTTTTGTAACAGCTCCTGTTGTGCAGCCTCCAGATTGGGACTTACCCTTTGAAGTGATGTGTGATGCCAGCGATTTTGCAGTTGGAGCAATGCTTGGACAGAGGAAAGACAAGAAGCTCCACGCCATTTACGATGCAAATAGGACTTTGGATGATGCTCAGAAGAACTATGCAACAACTGAGAAGGAATTGTTGGCTGTTGTGTTTGCATTTGAGAAATTCAGGCAGTACCTTGTTGGCTCCAAGGTCGTGGTTCATACTGACCATTCAGCACTAAAGTATTTGATGCAGAAGAAAGATGCAAAGCCAAGGTTGTTGAGGTGGATCCTGCTTCTTCAGGAGTTTGACATTGAAGTGAAGGACAAGAAATATGTTGAGAATGGTGTTGCTGATCATCTATCCAGGATTCAGGTCGAAGACAGTGTCCCAATAAATGATTTCTTGCCTGAAGAGAATGTCTACTTGGTGGAATCAAGATTTCAGGAGGAAAGTGTTGAAAACCTGCTGTTTTCACGAAACTGCATGGGAGTGACGAGCGACACCAGGAGGGTGACGCTCGTCACCAAGCCAGAACAGTCGCGACCAAGTTTTCATACGAAGGAGGTGACGCTCGTCACCAATACTGGTAACGCTCGTCACCAAACCCTGAACTTGGCTGCGATTTGTGCAAGCTTAGGGACGGCTTTTGAAGTGCAAGTTTATGCTTTGGATGATCCAAAGAGGCCCTGGTATGCTGATATTGCCAACTACCTTGCTGTAAAGGATGAACCACATGACTTCAAGGGCTATGCAACGAAGAAGTTCTTGAGAGAACTTAGAAGATTCTATTGGGATGAGCCATATCTCTACAAGCATTGTGCTGATGGGATTTACAGAAGATGCATAGCAGAAGAAGAAGTGCAGGACGTTCTCTTTCACTGTCATGGGTCAGAGTATGCTGGACACTTTGCCACATTCAAAACAGTCTCCAAGCTTCTTCAAGCTGATTTTTGGTGGCCTACTATGTTCAGGGACGCCCAGACATTCATTACAAGCTGTGATACTTGTCAGAGAAGAGGAAAGATCAGCAGGAGACATGAGATGCCATATAACTTCATTCTTGAAGTAGAAGTCTTTTATTGTTGGGGTATTGACTTCATGGGACCTTTTCCCTCATCTTATGGGAATAGATACATTTTGGTTGCTATTGATTATGTATCTAAGTGGGCAGAGGCGTTGGCTACTCCTACTAATAATGCTGCAGTGGTTTTGAAATTGTTTAGGACCATTATCTTCCCCAGATATGGTGTCCCACGGATTGTCATCCGTGATGGTGGTTCTCACTTTGTTAACAAAGTTTTTGACAAGCTGCTGAAGAAGTATGGTGTACAGCACAGAGTGGCCACGCCTTATCATCCCCAAACCAGTGGACAAGTTGAGGTTTCTAACAGACAGATCAAGCAGATTCTGGAGAAGACAGTCGGAAAGACAAGGAAAGATTGGTCTGCAAAGCTGGATTATGCATTATGGGCTTACAGAACAGCATACAAAACGCCACTTGGGACTACATCATTCCACCTTCTCTATGGCAAGGCGTGCCATCTACCAGTTGAACTAGAATTCAAAGCAGAATGGGCTATCAAGAAGCTGAACTTCGATCTGAAGCCTGCTATAGAGAGGCGCTTGATTCAGCTCAATGAATTGGATGAGATCAGATATCTGGCCTATGAAAACTCCAAGTTAAACAAGGAGAGGACAAAGGCATATCATGATAAAAAGATCATATCCATACATTTCGAGCCCAATGACCAGGTACTACTTTACAACTCTCGATTACAGCTTTTTCCTGGTAAACTGCGTTCTCGATGGTCAGGTCCCTTCACTGTCAAAGAAGCTCGACCACATGGTGCTATTGTCCTGATAAACTCAAAAGGAGAGGAGTTCACTGTCAATGGACAGAGGGTGAAGTATTATTGGGCGCATGCAGAGATTCCAGCAGGACACATTGTGTCTCTGGATGATTCACCAGCTGCCTAAACAGCCAACCAAAGTTAAGCTAATGACTTTAAACAAGCGATTAATGGGAGGCAACCCACTGGTAAGCTGTATATTTTGTACTTAGTTTTTTATTTTCGTGCTTTAGTTTAATTAGTTATGTTTTATTCAATAATAAAAAATAAAAAAACAGGGTGGTGACGCTCGTCACCCGTTGAAGTCGAGCACGGGTCCTTATTTTCTTCTTCTTCTTCCTCATGCTCACTTCTAAAACCATCGAACACTTAGAATATTTTCATAATCTGCAACTTTTGATTTTCTAAACCAAAATTAGTGATTCAAAAGCTTAATCCGTGTGGATTTCTGCCCTTTTTCACAATCTCAATTCAGTTTTCAAGATCTGCAAGATGCCCAGACAGGAGAAACGACCACGACAAGGCTCGTCTTCGAGCTCTGCATCAGGCTCAACACAATCGTTCAGCAACTACCCTGTTTGCTGGCCTCCATGGCCAAAGCGAGAGAACCTGAAGATACCATCTCTAATGGCTTGGGCAGGGACTCCAAGGCAGGAAATATCACGGGATACCTGCTTACTCCGTGATATTCAGGAGGAGTGGGATGAGTATGACACGCTGTTCTACAATGCGTGGCAGGGAGTGAAGAAAGTACCTACCAGATTCGCAGATGCTGCTGTTCTGCAGAAGATGGGCATATTCGAGGAGGTTGTTGAGATTCTGGAGAGGATTGGGATGGGCACTATACCATTCCAGCAGTATGATCTGTATCCAGATTTGGTCAGCCAGTTTCTCTCTACTGCTCGCGTCTACTACGCGAATGAGCTGGCGTAGTGTGCGCAGGAAGGCATGTTGACATTTCTGATCCGCGGGGTTCATTACATGATCAGTCTGATGGAGCTTTGTGGGATCTATGGCTTCTCTGACCATCCCACAGGCGTTCTCCTTCCCTCACAGTGGACCCACATGCAAACTTTCTGGTCCAAGTTCGGGAATGGAGTCTATGACAGCAAGACCAGCACGCAGACAGAGGTTCGACATCTTGTCTTGAGGTACATTATGTGCGTTCTTGGCAACACCATATTGTGCAAATATGCATAGAGCAAGACACGGGTTAGTGACCTGATTCTTCTCTACTACGGACTCTATGAGATGCTCGATGAGGTGATACCTATAGATAGCATGATTAGCGCCAACTTAGGCGCTGTTTTCGCTGAGCATTTGGTCTCCTTGAAGACCAAACCAATCACCAGTCCGGGGGAGAAGACTGAGAGTGTAGGGAGTCTTCTGACACCGATCTTCCATCATTTCCAGTCCGGGGGAGAAGACTGGTGACGCTCGTCACCCACCAAGGAAGGAGCGTGGCTTGTTTGTTAAAAGATGGAGCATTATTTGCAGAATTGGCCCAGAAGTTCTATTATTTGCTTGAAGATCCCAATTCGTGTTTAGCCTCTATTTATTAGGTTTTTCAGCCATTGTTGGTTTTGATCTTAGTTTTGAGAATTCAGAGAGTTTGAGAGAGAGATTTATTCAGAGCTTTTTGGGGAGACAGATCCTGTACTCTTTTGAGAAGATTTCGTACCCCTTGTTCTTTTACTCTTTCTCTTAATGCAGTTTTATTCAGTTATATTTTGTGGTTCCATAATCATGTCTGAGTAATCTGCTAGTTAAGTTAGGGCTTTTTCAAAGGTTAATGAAGAGTTTGTAGAATTGCTACCTTTTAGGAATATCTT